AGAATCAAAGTTTAACATCAAACATTTACATTAATTTGGCAAAATATGAAAATAACAACAGCATAGTTTTACAGGAAGTGAGAACAATACGGCGATTGTTTTCACTTTTCAGCTAAAACGGCAGACATTGGTTAATCAGTTTTACAATCAGGAAAACCATACGGCCATGATTTTCCGTTGCATCACCACAGACATTAATGAAAACATCTGGATTAATTTTCTAGCAGAAAGGAAAGTTTAAAGATGTAAAATGGAGATTTATCTTTCAGAGAGATGTGTGAGGGAATTTATCTGTAGTACCAGAACAACACGCTCTTTGGAAAATCAGCTTGGCCCATGGTACGCTTGGTCGAAATAGAACTTTTACCTGGCAGATTGGTAGAATCAGCGTCGTTGTAGAGTTCTCCTTTTGACTCTTTTCAGCGTCTCCGTGAGGACAGCTAAGAACCCTTAGGAGTCGTGTGAGGTTATCCAAACAGAAGTTATAATTCCCAAAATCGTCTCTGCATTCTGGATTCAAGAACTCTGAACTCCTTCAGAGCTCTACTCTTTTAAGCTCTTCTCATCTCGTCTGTCTCTCTTCGACAGAGAGTTTAGAGAACCGGGAAGTTGCCACATTTAAATGGGTTCAACTTCCGGGTCATTTGAGAGCTGTTTGATTGGTCGATGGACCAGAACAGAGGTGTGGTTTGTGATGTAAGGTGTTATGGAAAGTCAAGGATAGAGATTAAGATTATTTAAAACAGACAGAAAGATTGTTGGAGAACTTCAGACTTCGTGGAGTCAATTCACCTAGTATCTTCTGTGAAAGTTAAACATGACATTTCTTTTCAGTAAACTTTTTAGTTGACCGAACCTCGAACTCTAACACACACTTACAAACTTGCTCATTGAAGACAGAAAATCAAGAAATGCATATTAACCTGATTTCTTCTTTGAATGAGGAATACAAATCATTACTTACTGTTTATGTAAATAAAAATGAGTAGTTCTCTTCAACCTGTAAACATTGTTTGAACTAACACAATTCAATTTGATTATCAAAACATTTGTAAAATAGTAATGATCATAGAGAATTGTCATTTCTACTTGATTAATTCAAGAAAGAAAGTCTCAGGATGGGTCAAACTGTATTTCTGGATGCAGATCAATGAAATGACAGTTTCTGTCCCACAAGGTTCTTAAGGTCAAGGGTTTTGACCTTAGGCTTAGTTTGACATCAGGTTAAGTTCACTACACTTTTGATACCAGTGCAACTTGTAAAAAAAAGTTTAAAAGTTTTTTTTTTTTTCCATAGGTCTGTTAAAATAATAGCACGGTGGCGCAACTGGTAGAGCTGCTGCCTCTCAGCGAGCAGGTCCCTGGTTCAAACCCTGGTCCAGGGGCCTTTCTGGGTGGAGTTTGCATGTTCTCTCCGTGCATGCGTGGGTTTTCTCCGGGTACTCCGGTTTCCTCCCACAGTCCAAAAACATGCATGTTAGGCTGATTGGTAACTCTAAATTGTCCCTAGGTGTGAGTGAGAGAGTGAATGTTTGTTTGTCTCGTTTGTCTCTATGTGGCCCTGTGATGGACTTGCGACCCGTCCAGGGTGTACCCCGCCCCTCGCACAGTGATTGCTGGACATGGGCACCAGCAACCCCCGTGACCCAAAATGGAATAAGCGGGTAAAGAAAATGGATGGATGGATGGATGGATGTTAAAATAATCAGTTTTTAAAAGGTTTGCACAACTCTTTCTTACAATAAAAGTTATTATATTTAATTGGCTTTATAAAATGTGCCACTTTAACACAATAACCTTTTCATTGCCCATTTGAAGGCGGACAATAATGTTTAATGAAATGCTCAGAAAGTAATCTCTGGATGTCCAAATTGTTTCAGGCTCCTTGAAGCATTTTTAAAGCTTTTTCTTTTTGACTTTTGCTGCCACCTTACTCTTTTTCAGACCTGCACCCGACCAGTTTTTATTACTGTTGCAACCGGTCGCAATGACGTTAAATAATCCCATTTATTTGGATAAATCTATCTGTGCATAGCGTTACTGCACCATCAAGGTGATTTCCAAAGAGATGAAAATGTTAAACAGTACAAAATCAACTGATTTCTGCATTTGTCCTTCACTTGTCCAGTTTTCTCATTTTTTTTGTCCCTCGTCGTGGAGCAATGGGGGGGATTGGAAATACATATCCTTCATCCATCCGTCCATCCATCCATGCTTGTTGTGAGCATGGTAACTTGAAAAATAAGCATTGTGCCAACATCCTTTTTTGGTTGTGTTACTGCATCTACGTTAGAAGGTCTCTACTGTAAATTGGGTTGCAACGTCAAAATCATAATGACCACCACCATCTGTAAACCAGCCACCCCAATCATTTGAAGGGAAAAATACACTTTCTAGATTTTAAATTGCTAAAAGTATAGTTACCTCAAATGACTGGGGTGGCAGAAAATGAATCTACAGTGGTTAAAGCCACCATTGGCCACCCCCTGTCTCTGCCATTGCCCCTGGTGTTGGTTAACGTTGCTCCATCCACTCACCAGGATCTGTCACTCTGTGCTGCCTCGGACAAGAAAAAATAAATAAAACCCCATCTGTTCTTCTCCACAGTGTAACTTCTACACACTTGAATATCTTGTGCCAAAAACATTAAGCTTTACTTGCATTCCCTGTTCAATTCCAGACCAGAAAAACACTCTTTTCCAAAAATACATTAACTATTTAAGCCCCTCAGAGACGGGGGACATCGGCGTACCGCTTGGTAAATCATACAAACTGCACAACATGCGGTCATTGTCAGAAACATGATATAATCTGTGATTAATATTCATCTAGTCCTAATTTAGATCCACTTTTAATTTTTCTAAAAGGAGTAAAACCCTAATCATGCTGTAAAGCAGGGATCATGCTCGTTGTATGTAACGGGCTCACGCAGCTGACCAGAACTTCAGTGAAACTTTGTAAAGATGATCTATAATAAATGTTTATCATAGACACTGTGTATAATGATATCTGTTTGCATATCTGTTGCTCAATAGGCTGAGAGTTTTGTGTTGATTTTTCATTTTCATGCTCAGGTCCCAGGTGAGTCCTCCCTCCTTTGGCTGTGGTCCAATCAGGAAGAACGGGTTGCTGTAATGATGCTTCCTCAGAGGAGTTCTGTCACCACTTTGGGCTATGGGTCGGGTAAGACTAAACAGTTTTACATCACAGTTGAATCCTAAATACTGACTTAAAGTTCAGGAAACTGACTCCCAGGCTGAATCTTTAGATAAGCACAATCATCCTGCAGCTGTTTGTTTATAAAAAAGTTTAAACTTCATCCATCATCTGTATCATAATGAAGTCCCATCATGAGTTCTTAAATTCCACAGTGGAGTTCTGTAATATCAACTGTAATTATAATTAGAGTCTGACCACACTGATCACCACTCTGGTTGGTTGGGTAAGTGGTTGTCCTCGGGGTTTCTGTTGAAGTCGAGACGATGATGTATTCTGCCTGGTCTTGGTTCACCGGCATTCTTCCATTTTTAGAAGAGACTCAGCCAGTGATGGAGCCAGTGTTTGTGTTGGCCTCAGATCCATACGAGCATGCATTCTTCACCGGTTTTCCCCCTTCTCACTCAGCACATAAATGCTAGCACGTCTTTTACCTCAACTGCTGCTTAATGGATTCAAGACGATAGATTTAAACGGGTGGTTCCGATCTTTATGTGTGTTTTTTGTAGAAATATGAACAACTATTATCCTACCTGTTGTAGATAGCTTTGCATAACCAAGATGAAGATGGGGGAGTGGTGGCACAGAGGTTAGAAGATGGGCTTGTGATCGGAAAGTCGCAGGTTCACCTACAGGTACCGTCAACATCAAAATGTGGGTGGAAAAGGTGAAACACCCACACCTCCCTCCACCCTCACTCGCCCCACTCTGGGCCCCTGAGCAAGGCCCTTAACCCCCACCATGTGCTCTCTAAACAGGTCTCTCTTGAAAATGAGTTCTTGTGGCTCAATAATAATAATAATGATAATGTCATCACAATGTCAGCACTGTATGTTTCCATACAATGGCGAAATTACTCTCTGCATTTAACCCATCCACCACCAGGTGGTGCAGTGGGCAGCTATTGAAAGCGCCTGGGGGGCATTTTGGGGATGAGGTGTGCTGCCCAAAGACACCACGTGATGTGCAGTGACTGGGGATCGAACCTGGGACTTTTGGGTCCCAAGCCGGCTGCCCTGCCTCTACACCATCTCGGCCCCCATAAAATGAGACCCCAATGAGACTACCTGGATAAATAAAGGGTAAAAAAAAAAAAAGATATACATGGACGCTGCCATTTTAACTCAAAAATGTCTTCTGTGAACTGTTTTCTGCAGACTGTGTAAAGATTGAGCCCAGCAGCGGTGGCTCAGTGGGGGGGACGATGCTGAGGGGCTCTCGGTCTAAAGCAGAGCTTCAGGAACTAATGGAGACCCTGCAGCGCAGAAAGAGTTCTCTGGAGGCCAGCCTGAGGGCGGCAGAGTGCAGCCGCAAGTACCTCGGCGCTGGAAGCCAGACCGCCAGGCCGCTGTCGGTCCTCAGCAGCTCAGAAAGGCCCCCGTCTGCCTCCAGAAACTTTTCGTACATCAGCAGCAGCAGCGTGCCCCCGTCCCCCCGTCAGGGTGATCGTCAGATCCGCTCCAACGGCTTTTCCTGTCATTCCTACTCCCGTCACCAGTCACAGGACAGTCTGCTGCTCGTTAACGCTGCAGATGGAAGCGCCCTTCTCCCCTCGTATGGGGAGGCAGTACCTCGATCCCCCAGGGTCAAAAGTGGGGCAGCCAGCATGCCATCCAGCCCTCGACTGGGACGCAGGATTTACTCTCAGGGCAAAGCAGGAGGAGACTCCAGGCAGAGGAAATACTCCACCGGGTCCCTCAACAACCTGGGGAAGCACAGCCGCTCTTTGCCGAGACTTCACAACGCAGCAGACCCCCTCGCTCTGTCGCTGCCTTCTCGACAGTCAGTGGGATCTCACAGGGGGATGGTCTCAGCGGGACAGAGGCGCAGTCTTTCCTCCCTGGATCAGCCCCCAGATGTGACGGTACCAGCTAGCATGCCTGGCACATCCAGGAGGTCCAGTCTGGCTTCTCTGAGCTCTCTGGGTGTAGAGATGGATAGGACGGGCCTAGATCTGGGCTTAGGGGAAAGAAGAATGTCTTTTGGGAAGAGTGGGTTGAGTCCAGGGCAGAGAGTGGGCAGCATCAGTTCTTTGAATGGTAAAGAAGAGCTGAGAGACTACCACCAGCACCAGAGAGACGAGAGGCTCCGTGAGCAGAAGGTTCAGAGACTGGTGAGCAGTTTTTATCACCCTCTGAACATTCTTAGATCGCTAACTCTTAATAAACATTTTAATTGAGATGAATCAATGCTTCTTCTATGTGCAGGAGTCTCAGCGCCTAGAGACCATCTTGAACTTGTGCACTGAGATGGGACAGGTGGAGAGAGAGCCAACGGGCTCAGCCGTTTCCGATCTGCAGAAGATCAACAGGCAGCTGGAGAAGCTGCAAGTGTCTGACGATGAGTCTGTGTTCTCTGACTCCCCCAGCAGCACTGCTCCAGACAGCTGTTTCAGAGCCAAGGCCAGAGACTTCCTGCTTTCAGAGGAGGCGCCCACCGCCCAGCGTCAGCAGAGCAGCTACAGAGAGATCAGGTCCCACTCACCTGCTATCAGCCTGAACAGCAGTGCCCCCTCCCCTTCTATGCTTCACCGAGCCAAAGTGAGTTCCTCAGCTGCATGATCTTTAGCCAAACAATCTTAAAGTCAGGACTGGAAAACTGACCAAAAGTGTGATTAGCAGCATCCTATGGTTCATAAGGTTTGTATGTTTGCAAGAAAAGTTTATTGCAACAAGCTTTCTACTAAACTGCATCAGCTAAAGTCAGAAAATTTTTGCAACATTTCAATTCAGCCTGTCAAAGCTAATACGCAAAGTGCAAATTCACAACAAAACTTTCTATAGTTCAAATGTGGTTTCTATCGCCCAGGTGTCATTTCTATGGTTCAGGTGTGGTTTCTATGGTCCATGGTTCATTTCTATAGTTCAGGTGTTGTTTCTATGGTCCAGGTGAGGTTTATACGGTCCAAGTGTGATTTATATAATCCAGGCGTCATCTATATGGTCCAGTTGTAGTTTATATGGTCCAAGTGATGTTTCTATGGTCCAGGTCTGGATTTCTCTTGTCCAGATGTAGTTTCTATGGTCAATGTGTAGATTTATGGGGGTAGATGAAGAAAAACTGTTTGTTTTCAGAAAATTACAAATTCCAACATGAAGCGTAAAGTCAGCAGCAGAGTGAGATTATGTGGTCAGTTTGTCTTCCAGCTGTCTAAGCCTGTAGAAGCAGAACTAAAGGATAGCTCAGGAAACCCAAGCCAATACAACTAAAAGACTGCTCTACCAATAAAATAAATGACAATCTGCTTCTAATGACTTTTTAAGGTTGATTTCTAAATCCATCGTGCTCATTTAATAAAGAAACTGAGAAGAAGAGGACAGTACTCTCAGTCTGACATTTCTGCTTTTCAGAATCACACAGATTGGATCAAATAAAAATATAACTGGACTTTTTTGTAACCAGAAGCCAACATAGTAGAAAGAAGTGGCACAACATTTAGAATAAAATATTTGAGATAATAATAAATCATTCTTATCAGAAGTTTCAGAGTAAAACGTAATAAAACAGAATGCACAGGTGGAGACCGCACTAACATGTTGAAGTAATCGTGACACAGCGAGTACTTGATTTTGTTGTACAATCAAGAATACAATTAAATTGTGGCTGCTTTGAGTTCTTACCTATAGAATGTAAAATATAATTTATCCATTGAATCATAAAAAATGCATCAAGAGGTCATACCTTCTGTCAAATGTCACTTTGGTCTGTCAGTTTTAAATCAGCAAACATAAATAAAATCATTTCAGTTTATTAACCATCCCAAAATGATGCCTGCATGCTGTAGGAGTCTGGACAGAGATGGACTCCACACCAGTTTTTCTGGTTGAATGAGGCAGTTTGTAAAATGTTGGACGTGTCAGGAGGTTCAAAGTAAAGTCCTGAAATCTTCCTGGACAGTAGAGGATCTGAAGACAGTTTTGGTGACAGCAGCGAGCTAAAGTATCTGAAACCAGGACTAGTCCACTCGTTATCTGTCCCTGCACCATGTTGTTTCCTGTTTCAGAGGGACAGAGCTAAAGTCTGATAAAATGATAAAGCTCCCCTCATTTCAAAGCTGATAGCTTGTTTACTCGTGTTTGTTTACCTGTTTTCATGCTGAGGAATTTCCTTTATACATTTCCACAAAAGGGAAATTGTTTCCATTCAGGCACAACACCATTTATGTGAAAAATCTTGTATAATTATTCCCAAATATGTTATATACTCTACAGCTGTAATAAAACAGCATTTGAGGAATTGTCTTGGGGAAAAAAGTCAACAATCTTACAAATAATTAATTTGATGTTCAACTCAGGATTTTTGCAGATAAAACTAGAAACAATAGTTGGCTTCCTTTTTCTGATTTATGACTTGCACATTTTGCTCTACACAAAATTATCAGCTGCCGTCAAAAGTCAAAGGTGGACTATAATGTAAATGCAAAATATCTCATGAGCCACTTGACAAATTTTAGTGCAACTTGCAGGAAGTAATCCTCACATAAACATCTACAACTGATAAACTTTTGGAGTCAACAAGGTTCAAAATAGCTGCCACGGCCAACTGAGAAAACAAAAACAAAATGGACATAACTCAGTCAGTTTTATAGATATGGACCTAAAATTTGTTATGGTGGCAGCTGAGACTGATCCCCAACACACAATCTGAGAGCACAAGAGCTATATAGTTTGTATTTATTATTTATTGTCAACTCTGGCAGTCTGTTAGCAAAACAACGAACAATTAAACAGTTAATTACTTATAGAGGCATTTATTGCACCTCTATAACTAATTGATTGTTGATATAAATCCAATTAAAAATGGCCGACACAGCTAATACACACTAGCCAACACAAATATGCTATAACCCCGTCAGTTTGACAAATATTGAGGACTTTGTCTGACTTTGACTGCTAGCCGAGTCATTTATAGCAAACTCATGTGTAATGTTACTTTCAATGTTTGACCAAAACAACCAGGCATCACGGTGGTGAAGCAGGTAGAGCTGCTGCCTCTCAGAGAGTAGGTCGCCAGATCAAATCCTGGCTGGGGGCCATTCTGGGTGGAATTTGCATGTTCTCTCCGTGCATGCGTGGGTTTTCTCCGGGTACTCCAGTTTCCTCCCACAGATCAAAAACATGCATGTTAGACTGAATGATGTGTGATAGAGAGTGGTTGTTTGTCTCCATGTGTCCCTGTGATTGACCGGAGACCCGTCTAGGTGTCCCCCACCTCTTGCACAGTTAAGATAATAAATGGATGAACCAAAACAACCGTAACTATGTCATTTCTCTTCATAAGATCTTTTTTAAACTCTGGTATGAAAAGGTGATTTTTTTTTCTTTAAAGAATGCTAGGCTTTTCGTTGTTACTGATTTATCTATTTGTATTAAAAGATCTGTACGTGTCACAGCTAACAGTTTTTTCATGTTAATGCGGGTCGTCCAGACAATCTGAACTCGTTTTAATCTGATCACCTCATTAGGATCTGTTACAGCAGGGTGCTTATTCTGAAATAAATTGAATAAATAAATAAATGAACATGTCTAACATGGACAAATACAAACACACCCCACATATTTCAAATGACTATACTCGTTATGACTGTTGCTCTCGCAGAGCCCACCTTCTCCACTCCAGGCCTTTTCTCATTCTGATCCAGGAACAGCCCAACATTGTGTCTGGTTTTAATGAAGAAGTCCCAGTTTTGTTCCAGCACTGAACCATTCAAACTCTTGAGGGGGCAGGAAATGACTTTATCCCACAGTGAATTAGTGTGTGCATGTGAATGTAGGAATGCGAGTGTATAAACGTGCACTTTTCCAGATGTTTCAAACTTTGCACCGATGTAAAAAGGATGTTGTACCTTTAAGGATTAAAATCAGTTTTTTCATGCAGAAGTAACCCTTTTTAAACCCGACATCAAGTAAAGCTTTAGTTTTCTGCTATGAGTCAAGAGAGGTTTTCAAACTCCAAATCACCCTTCTTCCATCCCCTGTGTCCCTCCAAAGATCACACAGCACATCTGAGAAACTATCATCCGTCCAGATGTGCTGAGTCTGTGAGCGTCTGACCACAAAATAATCCACCTGGATCTTTTTAGGAAGAATATCTGATAACAAGATGTTTCAAATGCATCCTCACAGAAGAGTGACTGAGTGTTTATGGGATGTTGGCAGATGGTGCAATAAGAGGGAGTGTTTGGCGTGACTGGCATTACAGAGCACTGATACATTTCCACTGCATGAAGTGGGAAAGAATCCTGTCGTTACTCTCAATGATCCAGTTCGGATGAGTGAAAACTGCAGCTGCTGTTGTCTAAACTGATGTTATCAGTCGGCAAATGAGTCTGACTAAAAGACTGAGGAAAACCTCACTTTTCTTGAATAAACAAGTTTTTTTCTTTGTAAATGGATTTTATAAGCTGTTTGGTTTCATGTTTACATTCACAAAAGATGAAGTGCGTCCTGTAGAGCCGGAGTTTTATTCACATCCCCGCTGTCGTTGCAGGCCTTGGAGAGCGTGCAGCTGAAACAAGAGGTGACTCACATCGAAGAAGAAAGAATTCAGGTTCTGAACAACATCGAGGAGCTGGAGCAGAAGATCAAAGACTTGGACAACCAGATGGAGGAGTCCCTGCGCGAGGTGAGGGGCTGAACATAAGCACAGCTCACATCAGAGCAGTTTTTTAATGATTCACTTCTATTCAGTTTATTTCTATAGCTCCAAGTCACAACAGAAGTCGCCTCAGGGCACTGTGCAAAAACATTCACATCATAGGCGTCATGTTAATTATATGTGAAGGAGAAGTGTCCTCCTCACATTTAAAAATTTTTCATTTGGACCCCCACACGTATTTAACATGAAATATTTTTTAGTGCCTCAAGAAGGCTTAAGATATGGCTTCATTCCTCCATGAAACAGCAACGTCTGCCACATAAAGATAGCACCAAACTCCATGCTCAGTAATCCAGGTTTAAATCCAACAATGTTCAGTCAGGTCATCTGGACGGTTTCTTTTTTGTGCTGAGACATTTCGCCCTCCATCCGAAGGGCTTCATCAGTCTGAGGAAACACTAAACAAGACTGATTCTCCACCAGCAACCTACTCCAAAGTGGAAAAAAACAGTTATGTTGTTGCTAACTAAGATGGTCTCTGTGGCACGCCCTCTCCTCCAGTGCCGGCCCGCTCCCTTATCGACAGTCATGTCAAAGTCCCGCTCCGTTCTTCCCTTACTCGTGAACAAAACCCCGAGATACTTGAACTCCTTCACTTGAAGTAAAAACTTACTCTCAACCTGAAGAGAGTAATCCACCCTATTCCGACTGAGGACCATGGCCTCAGATTTGGAGGCGATGATTCTCATCCCAGCCACTTCACACTTGGCTGCAAAAGGCTCCAGTGAGAGCTGAAGATCATGGCACGATGATGTCAGCAGGATCACATCATCTGCAAAGAGCAGAGATGGAATCCCTCTGCCCCCTGGCTGCACCGAGAAATTCTGTCCATAAACGTTATGAATAAAATCGGTGACAACGGACAGTCCTGGAGTCCACCTCCCACCCTAAAGGATTCCAACTTACTACCGACAATGTAAACCAAACTCTCACACCGCTTGTATAGGGACTGAACAGTCTGTAACAACGGGCCCCCAATCCCATACTCACGGAGCACCCCCCCCCCCCCCACAGTGTACCCAGAGGAACATGGTCAAATGCCTTCTCCAAGTCCACAAAACACATGTAGACTGGATGGGCAAACTCCCATGACCCCTATATCAAGGCTATATCATATACCCTATGTCACGTGCAAAGGGTCACTAGGGACTGAACAGCCTGTAACAACGGGCCCCCAATCCCATATTCACGGAGCACCCCCACAGTGTACCAGAGGAACACGGTCGAATGCCTTCTCCAGAGGTAAATAAGTAGGTAAAAGAAGTAAAACCAAAAAATCATTTAAACTTGATATCTTTATTTCAGGCTGAGATAGCTCTAAAAGACTGACTAGTTTCTTGTGGAAATCAATATTTTAAAAATGGTATTTTGAAGCAGTTAAATGAGGTGGTTCCTCAGACAGTTGAAGGACAATAAAATAAAATAAAGGTTTACTTTCTTCTAAGCTTGGCTGCTCAGTGACTGCAGGAAACAAGCAGGTTTTTTCACCATGCTGTCCTTTCCTGCAGATGGAGGTGGAGTGTGCTCTGCTGGACGGAGAGCAGGACTCTGAGGTGGCCCAGCTGCAGAGGGACAAGGAGCTCCTGGAGGAACTCAAGGGAAAACTGCACAAGATTGAGAAAACAAGCAACCCAGAGTCTGGGGTAAAATCAGGTTCTCAGGTTTTTATTAGATGCAGCAAACAATACAAGATTAACTCCTTTAATGTGTGTTTTTATGACTGGAAGGTGGTCATAGTCTAGAGACACGCTCTTACCTTGAGACTGCAGTCATTTTCTCATTAACTGAAGACTGGGAGTTTCGTTTCAACTCAATGTGCCAAAGGGTTTATGAGCAAAGCATTATCCACCATCTATACCTACTAGTGCATGAGTGACAATTCAAAGTGTTTATTGCAAAGAGCTTTGCAGAACATAGGTGATATATAAATGTGGAATATTTATCATTTAAATCCACAGAAAAGGCAAACCACTGATTAGTTTGGGTCAACCACAACTTTCTGTAAAAGAATCAGTTTCATTTTCATCACTAAAAACCAATAATTATATATTCATAATTGTAAATGATTACAGCCCCAACTGAGTTACCGTGTTTAAAATAAATCACTCTAATAAACCTTCCCTCGCCGTCTAAATGTGAGCACAATAAACATAAGCCTTGTCAAATAAAGCGCTGGTGCAGAGGAAACAAACTCCAGCAGACAGAGCAAAGCTGAACTCACAGAAAAAACAAACACACATTTATTATCCATCCTTCCATTTCTTCTTAACAAGTTTATTTTAACTCTTTTAAGTTCTTTTATATGATCCGGTCCAGACTAATTCTGGATCTCTGGATTTATATTGATCTCAGTCTCAGAGTGTTTTTGGCCCTCGATGAGCCTCAGACAGCTGCTTTAGAGAAAAAACACCTGATTAATCTTCAGATCTGAAATTAAATTATAGAGAAATTACATTTCCTGCAAAAATGCTGTGTGAATGCTTTTTGCTGAAGAACTTGCTGAAAAACAGCTGAAATTATCTATTAAAGAAATGTTGAATTGTAGCTGAAAAGGAATAACAAGCCTAAATCAGCAGAAGAAAGCAGAAAGAACACATAGTTGATTTAGGTTTAAATAAGCAGAAATGAGCATATAAATTATGAAATTAGCTATAAAAGGCTGAAATCAGCAAACAAAAATAGCTGAAAAGTATCTGATTAGGCAGAAAGAAACTTAAACTACCAGAAGGAAGTGGAAACTGCTGAAATTAGCTCAAAATGTGGAATTAGCTTAAAAAGCTAAAAATAGCATAAAACAGCTAAATGGTAATAATGAAACTAGCTGAAATAAGCTGAAAGGAGTTTAACAAGCTGAAATTAGTAGAAATAAGTTAATTAGGCTGGAAGTAACACAAGTTACCACACAAAAAAATTTGAATTTACCTGAAAACACCAGCTTCAGCCTTACTGCCCACCCCGGTCCCTAAGATCAGCTGATTGGTTGCTGCTGACAGTCTCTAAAACGAGGCTGAAGCTCAGAGGTGACAGAGCTTTTGCTGTTGTTGCTCCCAGGCCGTGGAACAACTTACCCTTGAGTGTCAGACAGGCCTCCTCTCTTCCTGTTTTTAAATCTCTTTTAAAAACACACTTTTATTCTTTGGCTTTTAACACGTGATCTTATCTTGTATGGCATCTTTTTTTTGTTGTTTTGGGGGTTTTTTTTAGCTCAGTTTAAGTGTAGAAACATTGTGAAGTGTTTCAATGAACTTATCATCATCGCTCAATTTTTTATTTATTTATTTTTTTTAAAGAAAGAGAAGAAAGAAGAATAATTAAATAATAAAAGAGAAATAGATAAAACGAGAGACCACCACGACAAAACAACATGCACAGCACAATGCCACCCACAATATCACCATGAAACATTTGACATGGCACAAGGAATCATCTAGCTTCCACCACTACCCAACCTAGCGTGCATCTGTCAAAGCACCTGAATCCAAACACCCGCGCAAGCACGCCTGCCACCACCAGATTTCTCCAAAAGAATGCCCAATAGTGGACGCGGGGGCCCACAGACCCGTCCCCCCAGGACACAATGGCAACATAGGGAGGACCAGAGCCACAGACACACAGCGGCCCACAGGCCCGGAGCCCCAGGAGTCTCCCAACAGGGAGAACCGCACCCCCCCAGAGAGGAGCAGAGGAAAGAACCGGGTGACTCCAGCCACCACAATGCAGAGTCTCCAGGAAGCTGCAGCGACGAGCCCACAGGTCCGGCCGGCGACCCATGCCCCCCCCCAAGTAGATCCGGCCATGGACACCGAGCCCCGAGCCCCAAGCCCCGAGGCCATACCACCCCCCGGCAGAGCCCCGACAGAGCCAGGGCACCCAGGCCCCGCCAGGCAGCAACCAGGGCAGACCGACGTGCACCCCACCACCCAGCCCAGACACCGAGAGCCACCAATGCACCGGCGGCAAGGGGGTCCCCCGCCAAAGGGGGGCACGACCGGGGGGAGTGGGCCCCACACCAAATGTGGGGCCCAAATTGATCCAAGAGAGGGGGGACCACCAAAAACCCAACCTGAGCAACCAACAGGCACACACAGATAGCCCGACAGAATCTCTGTCGGGCCGACCGCATGCACCATCTACCTGACAGCGACCACAGGCCGGCTCCAGCCCAAAGGGCAGAGCAGCAGGGAGCCGCAGCTGAGGAGGGCCGGCCCCCACATCAAGAGCCCCGCACCATAGGCCCGGAGACGCCCCAGCACGCCACCTATGCACCCCCCCACACACACAGCACCCCCACCGCAAATGCCACACAGGAAGACCAGCCAGTGCCCGGATGAGGCGAAGCCACACCCCCAACCGCCGCCCTACACCACCAATGACCACACGTTCACTACCATAGCCGACCCCCCGCCGAAAGCCGGCAGCCACCCCGGTCAAAGTGCCGGCCATCGCAACCAGGAACCTAGATTAAAAGAATCGGAACAGCCCAGGAGGAACCGAAGCACCGGCCCCATCACTGACCGCCCCCAAGGCCCAAAGCCCACCCACAGCCCAGACCCCAACAATGCGCCCCCCTCCCCCTCCATCCCAGACCCCTAGTGTCACACGGAGAAAGGAGGTGTTTGTGAAAAAAAAAAAAAAAAAAACTAAATAAATAAAATAAATAAAAATAATCTATATATGCATAAATAAATTATGAACAGACACACTTCCTCCTCCTCCCACTCGAATATGGTGTTGATGCATGTTGTTATACAGTGCGTTTAAAATGGGGGGATGAGGTGGCGATCGGCACAGACCCACCTCTTGCCCAGAGAGCGGGCGGTGCCCGTTCACCCCTCATCTCCGCCCCGAACCCTAAATATCTACATGCTACATATGAGAGTGGGCACAGGTCCGGGGAGGTGGAAA